TGCTCAGAATAAAATCAGAAGCTCCCAAGTGATAACCAAACGAGCATCTGAATCCCAAATGTATAATCAGATCAAATCTCACATCCTCGATGTTGACCAAATACTGGGCAACCAAACATCCGACGTAACTCAAAATCTGAAGCAACGCTCCACCAGATCCTAAATCTCCAAACACAGCAGTCGACAACCTATGACTAAGATGACCCAAACATGTCGAAACCTCAACACCAGAATCAATGCTCGACATCAAACGTTGATCCTCCTCCAGAAAGGAACGACCAATCAAAAATATCATCTCATCTCGTTGCCCCAATATTTCCCCTCCAGTGAAGTGTCTCAAGATGCCGTGAGCTCAGCACGAATACATAAACATATCCCTTTTGTACTTCTCACTAAAATCAGAACGTAGTACCTTCATCCTTCTGTCTTTCTTACACTTCTTCAACATAATGTTGTAGACTACTAGGACTTCACTCAAACTAGACTTGGTTGTAACCCAAACATGCCTAGAACAATCACCAACAAAGGAAACCAAATATCGATTACCTTCCAATAGTGTCTCCTTGGAAGGCCCCCAAATGCCTAAATGAACATTACCTAGAAGACCCCTCAATTGATGGATAGAAGTGCCAAACTCCATCTCGATCTCTTTGCTCATACCAATGTGCTCAAAGGACTTCAATATGCAGGTCAAGGCACTTCTTAATAATCCAATGCACCGTATCAACAATTAAATATCACAGCCTCAAATCCTTCTTTCTCAGTCATAATTCTTAAAGCACCAACAAACCAATGCGTAACAAACGAAGAATAGATCCAAACTGATAAATGAGAGATTTTTATCTCTAATTGAAACCATAGCAAGAGTCTCCGAAAGATCTCACCCCACACGATGGAAACAAGATCCACAAATAGGAAAAATCCCACATTTATCACCAACCGAAGCTCTAGACGAACTTCCAAAGCGATCTACTCCTCTAGTTAGCCCAAGCGTAGTCCGAACTCTAATACCACTTGTTGTGCGTGGCAGAAGCCAACACAAAACCGATGTGCTTCGAGGAACCAAAACAAACGCCAAGATAAAGGCCAACCAAATCAAAATAACAGCACAAAACACAAACAACCAATTTTAACGTGGTTCGGCAAGTTGCCTACGTCCACGAGGCAAGAAAGGGGATGAGTTTTTCACTATAGAGAAGGAGAGTACAAACTGAGATTACAGATCGCTCAAACCAATCAACTAATCTCACCAACAAAGTTCTTAATCTCTCAAACAATAACCCTAACCAATAGCTCAAAAAGATCTCTCTTTTCTGTGCTCTAATATCCCCAAAACAATTCTTAATCAAAGCCCAAAGAAATCCTAAAACGTGTGTTTGTATTTATAGTAAACACCAATCCCAAACAGAACAGAAAACCAAACCCAGGCCCAGACCCGACCCGCGGTCGACCGCCGCGCCAGTCGCGGTTGACCGTGGCCGACGACAGAACCCAAAAAACACTTACAAGGTCTCATGGTCGACCGTCGCGCCAGTCGACGAGGTCGACCGTCAAAAGTCCAGAGACTTTCTTGTTCCTTGTGCACGTCCGCGGTCGACCGTCGAGCCACCCGCGGTCGACCGCGCAGCTTCCAAATTGTTCTATCTCCAATTTTCTGAACCTCATTGTTTCATCTTCAATCTCTTCATCATATATCAAGTAGAAGTCAAAGGATGTTTTTCGCTTCTTTGAATCAACAAGGTACATAACCATCAACCACTTTACATATAAATAACAATTTCTCTAAACATGTTGGCAGCTTGCATTTAGATATGTCATTTATCTCGTCATGATTGAAGAACATGTTGCCCTATTGATACTCCAGAGATTTGTTGACTTCATTCTCAAATGCAGATTCATTGGTAGAGAGTAGAATGAGTCCGATATCGTATCAACTTTCCTTATTCCAGATTGTTTTTTTAAAGATAAAAATAGGGGGAGGAGCCCTATTCAAAATATATTATTATAAACACACTCAGTCTATGATTATATAATGCAAAGGGAATATGACCTTAGAAAACTTTATCTGTAAGTGAACGAGGAGAGGACATTGTCGTCACTTGTTATACAAAACAGAAAAGTTTGCTGAGTTCATATCCCTAAACGCCACATAATCGCTGAAAATAGAAAGGAGTTACAATGCTGACACCCAGCTTACAAAGTTCATTCACGTCTTAAAACAAAACATAAACAAACCAGATAAACAAAACAACAAATGAGATTTATGACAGTCAGAAGT